ATAGCCTTGCAGGAGGTGAATAATACTCATAGGAATAAGCAGAAAAGTTATTTGTTCTATGAACATAACGGTTTGAGGAAACACACTCGTATTCATGGGTCTGAGTATGATTTCCCTGCAAAACATTGACGTTCGGGTGACTCAGATGAGTCCTCGGACTGTATGAAGCTTTTTTACCATATGAAGCCTTTGGTATGGGGTTTTTTCTTCTTCCCAGGTGGTATCATGATGACATTCACAGGAAGATTCTCAAGACAACTTTTGGGTACCCATATCTTCTTCATAGGTGGCCCGTTCCTGCAGTTAGTACCAATATACCTCGCAAACACTTCGCCATTCTGATTCTTAAATAGTTTATAGTTTGCATCAAAGTATTCATCAATGATAATAGGGTTAGCACAAGTGAAAACAGATAAGGTGGATGGATCTACTGAAGGTTCCTTTGCAGCAACCCATGTGGTTTTGGGGTACTGCTCAGGCTTCCAGTAAGACCCATCGACATTCATTTTCCTCTCGAACCCAACACCCTCTTTCCTAGGGTTTTGGTTCAGAATCTGCTTTTTGAGGACATCACATAATGTCTGATGCCCTTTGAGACTTTTGTACATCCCTGTCTCAAGCAGTGTCTTCAACCTAGCATTCACATCAGTAATAGTAGTGGTCTCCTCGGCAGAGGGGTTAGTTACCACATTGGCAGTTGAAGATATTGCAACAGTAGTAGCAGTAAAACATTCAGCAACAGAGGCAGTGTTATCACGCTCAATGCATTTTAGACATGGTGGTTCAAATCCTTCCTGAGTGGGACTGATTTGTTGAGCGCGAAGTGACTCGTTCTCCTTTTGAAGATCTTCATGAATCGCTCTCAATTTCTCAAGATCTTGCTTCCTTTGAAGATAATCGTAAGAAAGCTTTTCATGAGTTGTTGAGAGCGTTTCATGACGACTCTCAAGTTCCTCGTACTTAACATGAAGATTTTTTATGTCTTTAATTAAGGACTGAGATTGGGTCATTTCCGCGTCCAATAGGTCATCGCTTTTGTCTAACAGTTTTTGAATATGTTCCATAGCTTTTTGTTGTTCAGTTGCAATTTTAGCAAGTGTTTTGTAACTAGGTTTGGATTCACCATCAGAGTCATCTTCACTTGATGTTTGAAAGTAGGCATCGCGTGATTTTACCTTGGCACCACGTGCCATGAAGCAGTAGGTGGGAGCCAAGTCGTCCTTGTCATTATCATCAATGTTGGTGACGGAGCCATTGTCTTTAGTGTTGAAGATGGACTTGACAACATAGGTTGTAGCTAGAGCCAGACTCGCAACACCAGAGTCGGATTCCTCCTCAGACTCCACCTCCGCCTGCTCAGAAGTAGACTCCTCCTCTGAATCCATCTCCTTGCCAACAAAAGCACGAGCCTTGCTAGATGAGCTCTTCTTGTGTGATGAAGACTTGGAAGAAGACTTTGAGGATTTCTTCTTCTTCTTATCATCAGAATCATATTCTTTGGTCTTCTTCTTCTTCTTCTCATTGTCCCACTGTGGACACTCGGAGATGTAGTGACCAGGTTTCTTGCACTTGTGGCAGGTTCTCTTCTTGTGGTCATGGGCGGAAGCTTCATCATTTCTTGAGCTGGATCGTGAAGACTTTCTGAAGCCTTACTTCTTAGTGAATTTCAGGAACTTCTTCACAAGCATAGCAAGCTACTTTCCAATGTCTTCAGGATCACCAGAACTGCAGTCAGATTCTTTTTCAGATGGGAAAACAGCCTTTGCCTTCAATCCAAACGCAATCAATTCATCCATGACGTGATCAATTTCCTTCCTTTTTCCAATCAAACGGTGATCAATCTCCTTCCTTCTTTCAATCACTTCCTTTCTTCTATCACCATGTTTTACCTGGCGCCAATGAAAATGAATCTCTAGGCTGCGGCATATATCTCTTTCTTCTATCTCTGACCGATCCTGCATATATCTCTTACTTCTATCTCTGGCCGATCATTTGTGTGCATATATCTCTTTCTTCTCTCTCTGGCCGATCCTGCATATATCTCTTACTTCTATCTCTGGAGATCATTTGTGTGCATATATCTCTTTCTTCTCTCTCTGGCCGATCCTTTGTGGGCACGTTCATCAGTCGTGAAAGAGAACTTGTATACATCGGCCTCGGGACGGGCTCACCGGTGTAAAGCACCTCAAGGCCGTCCTCCCTACGCCATGGCCCCCGTTGCCTCCGCGCTCCGTTCGCCATGTCTGTCGCACCCGCTGAGGTGAGCTCCTTGCATTCATGTATTAGCAATAGGAGGATCAACTTCTACATGGCTATAAAAACTGTTAAGTGAGCTCATTTGCTAAATTGCTATCTACTTACTGGAATTCTCACAAATAGAAGTGCAGTCAGAAGGTAACAAGCATGGTATGGTGTGTCTCCATTCACATGGTGTGCAAAAAAAATGGTAATTATATTACTAAACTATTAATGATGCTTTGTGTTAATCTGCAGGCTTGAATTTAGTTTCTGTGGTTTTCTTTTTCTGTTCATAGACGAGAGTATAGTCTGAAGGGAAAAAATGGTATGCTCTCAAGGGTGTGCAGGAACAGTGAGATTTATATTATTGAAGGTATTGTTAACAATTTGTTATTTTGCAGATTTGCTCTCAGTTTTTATTATTGGCAGGTGATTCTTGGTGATAATTCTTCATAGAGAAACATGTTTGGTAAGTGTATTGTTATATTGACTCCCAATTGGAAATTATAAATTTTAAATGTAAAGCTAACTTCTTTCGGGAAATAACATCATGTTGTTCAGATAATTTGATTTCCCTCTGTGATATTTTTTGGCTTTAGTATATCTCAGGACAAAGTTGTCAGAAGTTTTATGCTCCATAACTAAAACATAATCTCCTTCTTATTATTTGATTGGCATCATGATGTGTGCCCGTATGCTCCCCTGTCACGTCAAAAAAATATTTCAACTCCCGATGCAACGCATGGGCATGTACCTAGTGTATTTTAAAAATGTCAAAAGTGTATCGAAAAATGTTTCATGTGCGCGTTAATGTAAATAATGTATTTGAAAAATGTCAGAAGTGTAACAAAAAGAAAATTTAAAAAAGGAAAAATCAAGAAAGAAACAAAATTATATCAAAGGGGAAAAAGCCGACGAAAACCTATGAATTTAAAGAAAATCATTGGAAAAACAAAGAAAATGAAGAAAAAATGAAAACCATAGTAGAGCGGGCGCGCGAGCGACTGCTCTAGTGGGCCAGCCCGATTTGACTTGCCAGGCCAGCGGATACCAGAGAAACACTCTCAAGATTCAAAATAGACCGGGATCGAAAAATTTGTGTGCTGATTTCAAGTATTGAAAGTTTACGGTTCAATTTAGCTTTCGTCTACCGTTCAAGGGTACTCCCTCCGGTCCGGCGACGGAGCCCAGCGGCGGAGCCAACGTACAACCGTTGGGTTCAAGTGAACCCAACGAAATTTGCCTGGTACGTGTGTCTAGGTACTTATTTCGTCACGTGAACCTAGTAAAAAATGGTCGCTGACCCCATCAAAATAAAGGACCTCACGTGGATAGCTAAATATAGGGCCCAAAAGCCCATAAGAAAATGTCAGTGAGTCCATTCCCAGGCCTAAACCGTGATGCCTAATACTCCTCGTCCCTCGTCCCTCGTCCGTTAATTTTCCAGTTCACATCTCTCCTGCTTGACTCTCCTCTATTCGTGTCGCTCTGCGCCTCGGCAGCTGCATGCTGCCGGCAAGCAGGCTGCTGCAGATCCACAACGATAACAACCGTAACCTAAAAATTGCGGCAATTAGATTACCTAGTATGATAGTTTCTTATCTACCCTAGTTTTTTTATTTGTTTTTCTCCATGGACTTTGATTGATCTAGGCTATCGAATGGTATTATTCGAAGAGAGCTCGGTCATCAGATCCAGATATCTGATACAGACATATCAAGGCCACCCATTAAACGTAGGTACGTCTTGCACTTTTCAGTTTTTAATTCCACACAATATGTGATATATGATACTCCCTCTGTAAACTAATATAAGAGTGTTTAGATCACTACTTTAGTATTCTAAACGCTCTTATATTAGTTTACGGAGGGAGTACTATATTTCTTTTCGTTATATTCTTTACGGGTCCATACTTTTTGTTGCAATTGGACTTTAATCTACATAAATTAGTATTAGGTTCTCACAAAGAGTGAATGGGTGCACTCAATGGCCAAATTTTCGAGCTCCGCCCCTGCTCCGCTCCAAAATAACTGTCACAGTTTTGAACTGGGGTTAGTTCAAAACTGCCACACTTAACAGCAGTAATGCCTCCGTTCCTAAATATAAGTCTTTTTAGAGATTTCACTACAAACTACATACGGATGTATATAGACATATTTTAGAGTGTAAATTCACTCATTTTGCTCCGTATGTAGTCTATAGTGAAATCTCTAAAAAGACTTATATTTAGGAACTGAGGAAGTATAATTCTTGCAACTGGAGATAAATGGAGGAGAGAAAAAAAATATCAGTACGTATTTGAAGACAGAACCTCAGGATACAATCTGTAAATCTCAAATGGGGTGTATAGCTTTACACCTTGTCAAACTTAGTGCTCCTAGCATTAGTTCTGCAAACGTTTATGTGTGTAATCGGATCAACGACAAGGAGGAGCCAGCTGCGTGGCTTCAATCAGTATGAGCTCCATCTTCCAAATTCCAATCTTCTAATACTCTTCATCTTTGCAACCTTCCTACTACTTACCATCGTACCTGCATTAGTTCTTAGTTTCTTACACGGGTACGTGAGCTATGTACTTTAATTTGTGTTCTAAGCTTGCTTTTCTTAAAGCTTTTTGTAAGACAACGTTGATGAAATGGAACCAGTGTTGGCTTTGTTGCCAACTTGCCATCAGCGTAGCCATGCTGCCCATGCACTCGTACAAATGTAAAACAGCGCGCGCGCCTGCTGGGTGCAGCCGTCCGGCCACGGCGAAGCGCGCATCAGTTCCCGCCGCCGCAACGCGCCGGGCAGGATGACGGGACGCCGACCCACGGCTCCCCGATCCTCGTCATCTTCATCGACCGCTCGCTGGCCGCCGCCTCGTCGCACCGGCCCCTCTTCCTCGCCGACGCGTCCTTGAGGATCACGCCGAACAGCTTCACCTTCTTCTCGCAGCAGTGCTCTTGGTCCGCCGAGCGTGCGCCGCCGGCCGCGCCTTGCATGTCTCCGTCCATCAGCAGACGCAGGTCCAGCTGCCTGACGTCCAGGAAGCGGGAGAGGAAGCCCAGGAGCTCCTCGCAGTGCCTCCGCGCCAGGGCCAGCTCCGCTGCCAGCGCGTGGTTGTCCTTCCTGAGCTGCTCGTTCTCGCTGCTGAGATCCGGGCGCGTCGGCGAGGACGCCGAGGAGGTGCTGTGGTCGTTGCCGGTGCCGGACGTGCTGACAGACGCGGGAGGCAGAACGGGCAGCGGCCGAGGGAACGCGACGTTTACGCCGGTTCCGCAGGTTTTCGAGGACTGGGGAGTCGTCGTCGCCGTAGCCTTGCGGCGACGGATGCCGGAGAGGAGGCTTTGCTCGCCTCGCCGGAAGTTCTCGTTTGCGAACTCCCACCGGTCCGGCACCACCTTCCGAAAACCCTGCATACAGTTTACACCGGTTTGGTCAGTATCCGACGCGATGTGCATTTCCATACGTGTCGATCAAGAAGCATTTTCAAACGCTTTCTTTGTTTCCAAACATTTTCGAAAGAGAATCATTAAAATATTTCATTAGTCCCACACATTTCAATATTATTTACTACATTGAGCGGCATCACATATATCCAGGTGTCTTCTACTGTCCGTTGGAAGTTCAACATCATACCCAATCATTACTAGCTCATTAGCGAGTCTTCTTTTGTTAATTTTGGTTCACTGATTCCTGCGAGATTGGGGCATCATCGATTTATGTCTTACTCGGGCATTATCATATGAAATTATATTCAAATGGGATAAGCATATTTTTCGTCCCCGAATTCTCAAGGAGTTAGAAATCGTCCCTCAACTCCACAACCATCAAAACTCAACCCCTCATCAACTAATAAATCCAGATAAGTTTTGGCCCAATAACTTTTTTGATGGCTTGCACATGACATGGACCTGGTATTTGGTACTCACTCTGTAAACTAATATAAGAGCGTTTAGATCACTAAAATAGTAATCTAAATGCTCTTATATTAGTTTACGGAGGGAGTATTGACTAATATTGCTCACGGTGGCCTGGTTTTGACCGCCACATCACTTAAGTGGCTAAGGGCACCTTATCGTTCTCTCCCTGTCCCGCACTCTCAATCCCCCATGAACCCTAAACATAGAGGGGTTGGCGGTGGTGGCGGGCACCAAGGGGCATGCTACGACCCCAGTAGAGGGTGCCCTTAGCCACTTAAGTGATGTGGCAGACAAAGCCAGGCCACATGACCAATAATAGTCAAAACCAGGTCCACGTCACACACAAACCACCTGGCGTTACTAGGGACGAAACTTATCCGGTTTTAAAGTTCACTCCGACTTGCGCACTACAAAAAGGGAACCAACTTCGGCTCATGAAACTATGGTCTAATGCCCGCCTCTAGAAAGGACCTTGAACTCTTTTCCACACCCTTGCCAAAGGTTTTAAGAGAACAACCTTTTGGGCATACCAGTACTACCCAATGCAGCAAAGGAACTAGCACTTTCTTAGGCTTGCCACCGTTCTTTCTTTGAACGTTGACTGGGAGAGCGGCTCGAAAGAGTTGGGATAGACTAGAAGCTTAGAAGTATATGTTCTTTAATAAGATAATAGCAATCTTGACTCCCATCGGTCAAGATCCCCCTGAAGGAATATTAGTTGAGAGACTAAGTTTTAGTGGCTTTGGATTTGACGGACGTTTTCTAAACTTTCACGAGAGTTTAGGGACGAAAATCCATATTGAAATGCATGCTTGCACCAACGGTTAGTCTAAAATATATAGTTTATGTTGCACGAAATAGACATCATTAGATTCGTAAAAAAATGAACTCATGTATGATCTATGATTTTCTAGCCATTGACTACATATTGTAAGAGAGAGATATGGTCAAAGCATGAATTCGACAGTCAAACTACGCCGTGTGCCTAGGAACAAAAGGAGTAGTATATCGAAAAAAAATGCAATTTGGTAATTAAAACATTAAGCGAGAAGAATAAAAAACATGCGATTCTCTCTGTTTATCTTCTTTTAGTCGGGAGAGCTGGCTGAGTTTTCTTGTGGGTGAAGCATGGTATTCTAAAAACATAAGACAAACACAAAAATGAAACGTATGACTTACTGAATCCTACATCAAACGACCATGATGTTCTTTCCGACAACATCTTTGTATGCAACTTTGACCCGATTTTTTTTGCCGTTTTGACCATAGTATTCTAGATGATAAAAAATGTTAACCATGCTTTCTGAAGCATCGTCCACTTTTGAAATAAGGTAACTTCGCATAAAATCTGATGCTAGCGACCTCCTTTTCCGTAGGATTTCCAATTCGATGTGCACATTAAAAACATACTTATGGATAGTTAACGGGCCTATTTTGTTTGATTTCTTTTCAAGAATTCATTCTTTAGAGGACTTTGTAGTAGACACTTTTCATTGAAGATTTTTTTCACTACGGCAAGATAAATATATCTCGATGTGTATGTGATGAATGTGCATTGTATAAGTGTATGTCATGAATTTTAATTATCCTGCATGTGTGTGTATGTCTAAAGAACCTATATTTTTTAACCTTTATAATATATCAGAGTCATTTTCGTATAAATAAATAAATATAAGAAGCTATATTTCCTAGAGTAGTTTCCAGAAGAGGGCACAGAAATATCCGGTCGAAAGTTCCACTAAGCTTCCAGTACCCGTGCAATCACAAATGAGGACCGAGGACGCGCTAAATTAAAACCTCAACCTCGTGGGGTGTCAAACAGTGATGGGCAAGCACTAAATTTGCTTTCATGGAACCCGTTGGCATCCATCTCTAACGTGGTGCCGCGTCCGTCCATCCGTCCTTTCGATTATTTGCACACATTTTGTCAAAAGGAAAAGGCGAAGACGACATCATCAGCAC